GATTTCTATAATGAAAATCTTACATCTAAAATGAAAGACTAATAAAAGAGTGCTGACTTATTCCATAAATTTTAATCTACTCAAGAAAAACCATTTATTTTAGTGGCATAATCTATATATATATCTATATCTATATCTATATCTATATCTATATATATATATATATATATAGATAGATATAGATAGATAGATAGATAGATAGATAGATAGATAGATATAAAGCCTAAACAAGAAACTGACTGAACAACCGGTCGCTGTGATGCACACTCACCACCAGGGGGCAGACGCTCAATGTAGGAGCTGCCTCCTGGTGGTCAGTGCGCTCCCACAGCCAACCTCCCACAGCCGGCCCCGATTGTGCACAAATTCGTGCACCAGGCCTCTAGTTTTTAAATAACCACATGAGACCATAACAATTAAACTTACCTTACCTATCACTTAGGATGTTTTCAGCTGCAAATATGAGAAAAGACAACTAGAATGTGCTTAAGCAATTCGGGTATGTCTTTCGCTTAACAAAACCTCTTGAGGTAGGTGGCTCTGAGCAGAGCTCAGTGGCTCAGTGATGTTATCCCAGAGCCAGGCTCTTTCCTTCTTTTTGCTCGGCCACCCATGGTCGTTGGCAACCATCCCCTAGTGACTGCAAAATGGCTGCGACAGCTGCAAACAACACATCATCATACAAGGATAGCCAAAGCAGGAATGCTGGGGCAGGAGAGGTGACAAGTACATACCCTCCTATGCCTCTCTCTTTGTTCAGAGAGGATGACTATCTCTCCCAGAAGCCTCCAACTGGCTTCCCATTACCTCTCATGGACCAGAACAAAGTCACTTGCTCACCTCTCACCCAATTTGTACCAAATGGGAGAAGGACTGCCTTGATTAGCTGGCATTTCAGTCAGGTGCCTGAACAAAAGTGGGCTTCTGTCACCAAGGAAGAAAGTAGAGTAGGCAATCAAGAGTGCCTCCCAAATATGGGCATAGAATAATAGCTCTAATTGCTGAGTATTTTTAGTACTAGGTACCTTGTTGCGTACTGTATATGCATCAGGTCATTTCATTCTCACCAGTGAGAGGCCATTGTTAGCTCCATTTTCCAGATGAGGAAAGTGAGGCACAGAGAGGTCAGATAGTTTCTCCCAGGACTACACCTGGTAAGTGGCAAGTACCCATTTCCCTGCAGTTTAAACAGGGTTTCATCCAGATATCCAACCCCACAGCCTACAAAGTCTTGGCTTGAGTGGCTACAACATTTTTACGCAGAAAAGACAACTGAGGTACCTAGAAAATTCATGTTGGGAGGTAATACAGTACAAGGAGAAAAGTGGTCAAGTCCTTCAGATTTCCAAGGAAAAGCGTTTTATTTCACCTATCTTTGTTGCATTATGCTGGGAAGGAAGGAAAAGTATTCCAGGTATTGCAAACTTTAAAATGATCCTTTTTTAAATGTCTTTCATTTATTGCTAAAATAAAAAGTTTAATGTTGTAAAAGCCACTTATGTTGCCAACACCAGGATAAAAGTGTTTATTAATCATTTTACATATTTCATTATAATATACGTATATACATTTTACTATGTTTTACTCCAAGCTTTTTCTTTATTTTCCATAGTCTTCCTGAACGTCTTTTGGGACAGTTAGAAAATATTCTAATTTTATTTATCCATTTCTTTCTAATTTTTTGTATCAGAAATAACAACACAATAAATGTCCTTTTCTTATAGCTTCCTTCTTCTTCAGGAGTTTTCCTCTAGAATAAATTCTAAGTGGGATAAGGTGGTTGAAGGACCTGACCATTTGTATAACTTTTTCTATCCATTGCCAATGTGATTTCCAAAAGAACAGAGCTGTTAACACTGCTGCCAGAAAAATAATTTACTCATTTTCTGAGGTCACATAAGCTTAGGTTTATTTATATCCATGTTAACTTAATAGCCATTAAATGGCTTCTCATTAGTGTTTTGACTGCCATTCCTTTGATGCGGAGTGGAACACTTCTCTATAGGCCAGTACTTCCTCCTATGAAAAATCTGTTGTTATTCTTTGCCCATTAATCTTTTGGGGACTTAGTGCTGTTGTGAATTTAGATATTTCAAAACAAAGTTGGTTTAATTTCATTTCTGAAGACTGTATGCAGACTAAACGATCAGTTTGTCTAGACTTACCCTTGGGCGGACCCAAATTCCAACTCATTTCCCAACCTCCTAAATTTCAATAACTGAGGCATAAATGTCAATCTTAGCTATAAAAATATGAACAAGAATGTTTCCACTGCTCAATTTTCCCCCAAAATAAATATTAAGATTACTATGCTCAAAAATTCTGAGAGTAATAACATTTACATATCGGTCTTCATTTTCACGGTCAACTACACAAGGATTATTCTTTCACTGTGCGATATTAAGAGTTTTTTTGTGTTTTTATCCTGAAATTGTTAGGTAGGTGCAAAATCAGAGGTGAAAAAGACAGTATTTTCAGATTTTATTTTTGCTTATACCGTTGATTCCTCAAAAACAACATATAGCCCGGCAGGTATGGCTCAGTGGTTGAGCATAGACATATGAACCAGGAGATCACAGTTCGATTCCGGTCAGGGCACATGCCCGGGTTGTGGGCTCGATCCCAACTAGGGGGCGTGCAGGAGACAGCCAATCCATGATTCTCTCTCATCGTTGATGTTTCTCTCTCTCTCCCTCTTCCTTCCTCTCTGAAATCAATAAAACAATATATTTAGACCTAACCGGTTTGGCTCAGTGGATAGAGCGTCGGCCTGCAGACTGAAGGGTCCCGGGTTCGGTTCTGGTCAGGGGCATGTACCTTGGTTGTGGGCACATTCCCGGTGGGGGGTGTGCAGGAGGCAGCTGATCGATGTTTCTCTCTCATCGATGTTTCTAACTCTCTATCCCTTTCCCTTCCTCTCTGTAAAAAATCAATAAAATATATTTTAAAAATATATATATATTTAAAAGAAAAATATGTAAATTTTTTAAAACCCAAATATATATAAAAACAAACTCTTTAATCTGTCAACAAAAAAGAAAAGGCGTAATTCATTGTTTTCATACTTTTTTAGACTTCACAACTTGCTCTCCTGTTACCTAAATATTTATTCCCAAACCAAAATCCCTAAGAGAGGCTTTTAAAAATAGAGATTCCTGCCCCAGGTCTCACAAACCAAAACCTCGTGGCTACAGCCTGATCATCTATTGCTTTTCAAATACTTCCCAAGTTTTCACATAGTTTGGCTTCAAAATTCTCATTTTAAACTAAATCTTAAGAACCATAAGGCTAATATTTATATTCGTTTTTTAAACCCTGCTGAGCAAAAGCTCTGTGTTTACGTCTGTCGTGCTTCGAACAGAGCTCTTAAAAGACAACTGATACCTTTAATTTTTACCTAAAAAAGAGCAAAGGCAACGCTTATCGCCCTCATTTATCCGCAGATGCTCCCCAAAGACAAGTAATCACGCTTCCTTAGTCCTGTTACAAAGTGGTTTTGGTCGTGGTTGTTTGCTTGCTTAGAAATGACCAATCCCTCTTGGATGAAGATGGTGCAACTATGAGTAATTTTATTTTTCCAAATAACTGCTCTGAGGAAGTTATTTTTATCCTTCAGGTAAAACTGAAAGGGGATTAAAAAAAAAAAAAAACACCAAGAAAACAGGTAGCATTCCCCATTTATCTACCGAGATAAGTTCTCGTCACTGCCTTGCATTATTAGAATCTTATTCTAAGATGTCAATGAGCACAGTGGAAAGTCTATTAACGTATCCAATCATGTCCATATCCACATTATTCTATTACTATATATTACCTACACGCATTTATACGCTCATGCACACAGTAAGTCCTCACTCAACACCGATACGGAATTGGAACTGAGGTGAAGCAACGTGTAAGGAACTGAACTTTACCAGCGGCTCATTGAGATAAACAAGAGTTACGTTCCATCTCATCGACGTTATAAAGAAACAGCGTTGAACAAAACGATGTTATTCAGGTACCTACTGTATTCCATATAAGTGATAAACATAGTGAGTAGTTTAATAATGTCTCAATAATGTTGATTCCTGCATTATTCTATTAATGTGAGCTATTCCATATATATTCCATACACACAATGCACACACATACACACGCGAAATAAAAATATTAAAAAGAAACTTGGATGAAACTGGAAAGCCAGGGGATGTTCATTTATGGAGGTAGAGGCCTCATAAGTCGAGTCTTTACTAACTCTCCGGAGAATTTCCACGCAGGCACTGAAATCACAGAAAAGCAGTGCGGCAGCGGCCTGACTGGGTGGGGAAAAGGCACTGTGGTCAGAGCTGTACCTTCTCTTTGTCGCCCAGGAAAGGGAATGCACTGGGGGAAAGGGAACGCGCCCTGGAAAGGGAAGGCGCCCCGTGCAAAGCCGCTGCGAGGAGACCGAGCATCGCTGTGCGGTCAACAAGTGGGGTAACTATGCAGAACACTGTGGCCCCCAGAACTGGCTAAATCTCATTCTGGAAACAACATTAATAGCCAGTCCAGGGCTCTTGGGAGGGCTACGTGAATGTTTCTTGGCTGTACTCCACCCCCAGGGGGAGTATTCCACACCCAGCGCTGACACAGGCGGCAAATCTTCTGGCCTCAGTAACTTACACCAGCTTCATGGTCAACTTCCACCTCCCCTCTGCAATGGGCCAGACACTCGGTGCTTCTGGAACTCCCCCACCCCCACCCCCACCCCCAGCCGCAGAGGAGCTATTCCACATGCAAAGTTAAACTGATTTCCCTCGCGGCTACATTAGCAATTCTTGCCCATGTCCCATCGAGCCCCTACTGGACGGATGCATTTGCTTTCACATCAACATCAACATCAACATTTCTTCTAAAACTACAAGGAAATGGGTACTCCAGGAGGCACTACCAGGGGGCTCACAGCACTTCCCAGACCTAGGGGGGTGCACCAGCAATGCACAGGGCTCCAACAGCTCCATCTCCGAACCAACACTTACTGCTTTCTGTTTCTCAGGGAACAGCCATGCTAACGGGTGTGAAGTGGTATCCACTGTGGTTTTGTCTTGCGTTTTCCTGATGATTAGTGATTGTTCCACTTTCTTTTACATGGTGTTTCAAAATCTGTCTTCTTATTTTGTTTCAGTATCCCTTTCTGTAGGGAAGACATGTCATCACTGCTCTACGGAGACACCCATGAAAGGCCCTGGGAACTGAAGAACTTCCCACACACTAAAACCACGAAGCCAGCGTTTCCGTGCTCTGGATCGAACCAGGCACCAAAACCGTGGGACCCGGACATAAAAGATATTTCTAAAGATGTCCTCCCGGTTCTTGAAGACTAGGGAAGGCAGCCTTCCACACAGTCCTGCGGAAGAGTCAATACTGTGAGTGTTTACTGCCCAAGGAGTTTCACCAGATTAGCAAGGGAGTGAAAAGCAGGATGGCCCCAGGGCTCTGGGATGTGAGGGTGTCCATTGTCAGGTACCCTTCCTGCCTGAGGCCTTCGGTGATGAGCTCCTGCTCACACAGACACACAGGTGTGCTCCCATGGGCACACCTGCATTCCCGGCCCCTCCCGGCTGCACAACGAGAATGCACACACAGCAACGGATTCAACCTCCCCACCATAAAAGTAGTTTCATAAACCGAAGAAGCAAGGACAAACAGGCACTGAAGAGACTTGGGAGTTAGAAGTTCAGCTTTGAGCCCTGGCCAGTGTGCTCAGTAGTTAGAGCATCAGCCCGTGCACCAAGGGGTCTTGGGCTCAATTCCCAGTCAAGGGCACATACCCCTGGTCAGGCACATGAGAGAGGCAACTGGTCGATGTGTCTCTCTCACATCGATGTTTCTCTCGCTCTCCCATCCTCCCTCCCTTCTACTCTCTGAAGAGTAATGGGAGAAGTATTCTCTGGTGAGGATTAACAACCACCAAGTCCAGCTTTGAACTAGCCCTGGGTTGCTCTTTTCTAGTCCACCAAGATTTCCCAAACTCCTGCAAATAACCTCTCTTTACCTTCTCCATCTACCCTGATCTAACCCTCCTTAGGCTACTAATACCTGAAAACATTGCTCTTCCAAATCTTTGTTCTTCCTTTTTCACTGTGAACTCTCCTTTAGTTCACAGTCATTAATTCAACAGGGGTAAGCCTATGTCCCGGGGCTGAGCCAGCAGGACGAACTCACCATGGCGGTGTAGTCTGCCTTCTCTAGTCCTTACTTCATCTAAAATCCCCCCAAGTACCTCCTGGGGCTTAGAGCTGCCCTTTGCTCATCTATTAACAGAATCCCTCGCTCTAACTCATTAAAAATAATGTGGCACCATGAAAAGAGAGGCCGCACTGCCTTATATGACCTTGAACAAAATCACTCGCCTCGGAGGCCTCCCTGAAAAATGGCAATAATACCTTTCCTGGAAGCAGAGCCCTGAACCAAACAATCTTTTAAAGGGAAATTCATCACAGGCTTTCTTGCTAACCAAAAAAAAGACAACTTTTTCTAAAACGTTTGCCCTAAGTCTTTATGCCAAAGATGACGCTTTGATGCCGGTGGGTGGTCGATACCCTGTCTGTTCAGTAGTCAATCATTCCTGATGCGTCTCCTAAGGTCCAGGGACAACGAGGGACCTACAGACTCTGAGACTTTTCACTGCCAAGCAAAAGACCCAAACAATGCTGGAGACACAAGATAGACAAGCTCCATATTAGACAAGAAACCCGGCCTGCTAACTCTTCCCACACGGCCAGAAGACAGAGCCTGGAAGTCTAGCTCACACTGAGGACGAAAACAGGATCTGAAAGGTTCAGATGTCAAAATCCCCTTCGCTGTGTGTGATGGAACAGGAGAAAAACCAAGGGCAAAACACACACACACCCAAATCTAGAAACCTCAACTAAGAATCTATAACGTACGGTGCAAGCTAGACTTTGCAACAAGATCTGGCCTGGCTGGTGTGGCTCAGCAGCTGATCTTCGATCTATGAACCAGGAGGTCAGGGTTTGATTCCCAGACAGGATACATGCCCCAGTTGCAGGCTTGATCCCCAGTAGGCGGTGTACAGGAGGCAGCCGATCAATGATTCTCTCTCATCATTGATGTTTCTATCTCTCCCTCTCCCTTCCTATCTGAAATCAATAAAAATATGTATTTTATTTAAATAATAATAATAATAAAAAGTCCTGGCTGGTTTGGCTCAGTGGATAGAGTGTTGGCCTGCAGACCAAAGGGTCCCGGGTTCGATTCCAGTCAAGGGCATATGCCCAGGGTTGCGGGCTCAGTCCCCAGTAGGAGGCATGCAAGAGGCAGCCAATCAATGATTCTCTCTCATCATTGATGTTTCTATCTCCCTCTCCCTTCCTCTCTGAAATCAATAAAAATATATTTAAAAAAAAGAAGAAGAACCTGAGTGTCAGTGACAGCTCACTTCCTACCAAGCAGAACAAAACATTCACATACTTTTACACAAACAAACCTTCCTGGCCATACAGTAATCCCCCTGATGGAGCGCTCTGGGCAGAGAACAATAAACAAAATCCAGACGGGAAGTAGCCAGAAAGGAATAAATGGCCGAGCTTTCTGGCACTATCTCTTGGTGGAGAAATAAGAGACATCACTCTGTTTTAATAAGATTAGTTTAGAACCCAGGCCCTTAAAATTACTTATTAATATGGTTACTCACAGGGGGCGGGGAAGTTATAAACGAGTTTGTAATGTTTTGGCTCCATTCCTAGAATCAACATCAGAGTTAACCCTAATGGCCGACCACTGACAACTCCAGAATCCAGTCCCCACCCAGCACCAAATACGTCCACCTGCTCCCTGGGGCTGGCCCTTTCTGAAGCCCTTTCTCATTCTGATGCATATGGGTTTGCAGGCGTGGGAATTCTATGTGAAAATTCCAATACGCCAAAACGAGTCCCTTCTTCCCACCAGAAAAGCATGTTTAAAGAAAGTACAATCCCTTCTCACTTAATGACAACACAGTCAAAACCTACCTGCCCAGCCTGGGCATCTGAGCAACACACTGGGCAAGACGTCAACACCGCCTGTGTTCTGGCGCGGAGCCTGAATAATAAGCATCCTCTTCGGAAGGAGCAGTGTCAACTCTGACCCGCCTAGGAGCCACAGGGGCTGCTAGTCCTGCGGGGCACAGGCTCCTAGCTGTCTCCCCAGTACCCACTCTCCCTTTCCTCTATCGAAATGAAGGCTTAGTGGGGCACATGGCTGCCAACCTACAACGTATGTTTCCCTTACCCGGCCAGTGTGGCTCTGTGGTTGAGCGTCGACCCATGAACCAGGAGGTCACAGTTTGATTCCCAGTCATACCTGGATTGTGGGCTCAATCCTCAATGGGGGGCGTGCAGGGACAGCCGATCAGTGATGTCTCTCTCTCTCTCATCACTGATGCTTCTCTCTCTCTCTCCCTCTCCCTTTAGAAATCAATGAAAGAATCAAACAATAAATAAAAGAGTACATTTCCCAGCTCCCCTTGCGGGGAAGTGGTCACGTGACTGGGTGTGGACAATGGGATCTGAGCCACAGGTTTTAAGGAGCTGTCCTCTCCTTTCTTACTCCCTTTGCTCTAGTGATGGAAACTGGGGCAGCCATCTGAGCTGGGAGGCTCAGTAAGAGAGAGAGTGCCTGTATCACCAACAGCAAGACTTGGTCCGCTCTTGCTCAGACCTGTCTAGATGAGAATGAAAACGTTTCTGTGTTATTATTTTGACCAAACCAGTCCCCTTCAGTGGTCAGCAAACTGCAGCTCATGAACCACATGCGGCTCTTTGGCCCCTTGAGTGTGGCTCTTCCACAAAATACCGATTTCTGTGCATAGGCCACGAAGTTTCAATCACACTGTACGTGCGTGCCCGCACGTGGTATTTTGTGGAAGGGCCACACTTAAGGGGCCAAAGAGCAGCATGTGGCTCGCGAGCCGCAGTTTGCCGACCACTGCCCTAACTGATGCATCTTGAAGCATTTTGAATTTGACAACTGTCTTTTGTTTTGATATCTGTTCCTTAAAATAGATATCACCCTACATTTCCTGAAAGAAAATTTCCACCCTGTCTTTCGTATCCATGGTCAGTGTTTGATGTTGGCTGATAGCATCGGTCTTTTGTGTTGTTAGTATCGATTTTCACTAAAATCCAGATCTAGGATAAGTAATCCCCACAAACAACAGCTCCCTCCCCTCGCTCTGGGCATCCTTGCAGAAGGAGAACGTCTTGACTGCCCTGGCATCCATCTCACCCACCGAGCGAGCCAAGCGCGCAGCTGGTCCTCGCCTTCCTCCGAGGAGGGCGGGCACACCTGGGCACTGGAGTCCTTCCTGACACTTATAAAATGGGAACGATCTCCTCCCGGACCCGGGGGACGAAGAGAAAAATCCCATTTGCATAGCTCAGGAAATCAAACCCACGACTCTAGAGAACAGAACAAAATACTTAGGATAAAACGACCAGATCGGATTTAATAGGTGTGTTTTGTTTTTGTTTTTCATACAAAAAAAAACCCTACATCGCAATTTATCAATATAGATTTCATTATAACAAACATACCACTTGGTGGGAGGAGTTGTTAGTGGGGGAGGCGTGGGGAGGAGGCAGGGGGATATGGGACATGTCTACACCTTCCTCTCAATTTTGATGTAAAGCTAAAACTCTGAAAAAATCGAGTTTTTTCAAAAAAAAAAACAACACACAGAATCTTTTAAAAAGACACTGAACTTTCTCACTTTTGTAACAGTTGTCACCACTATGTTGGCCGGATGACAAGAATGGTGGGAGTCGGCAGCCAAATCCCGGAGTCGGCAGCCAAATCCCGGAGCCTCCGCAGAACTGAGTCCTCCGAGGGCCACTCGGTCCAGATCAACCTCATCCCCGCGCAGCCCCGCTCCAGAGGAACTCGCCATCACCCCGTTCCGCAGGCCCGCGGCTGTTTCTTATTTCAGTCACAGAAACGCTCGTGTGCCTCCTGAAGTAAAAGCTTTTGAAAATGAAAGCCTGGGCTGTGTGTGCGTCGGTTTTTTCACTGCCTCCGCCTTGTCTAATAAAAATGACTGAGTGTTTTGTTTTGTGATTCCTTAGCTCCCGAGTGCAGGATCTCTCAGACGCAGGGAGGACGATCGCTGAACGGAGCGTATTCAGTGTTGCCGAG